AAGTACTTTTTACAAAACACTTTCGAGCCACAATTTCAAGACTGGAATGTTGGAGTAAATAGCTGGGCTGTCTTTGTTGGCACAACCATAACCCCAGGATACAACACCAAGCAACTTATTGTCAGCCACCAAAGGACTTCCAGGCAATTCACCACAAGCGTCGTTCGCAGCCCGACCGCAGAACTGTGAATTGTAAAGATCACCGTCTTCGTATTTGTAGCCTTGAGTAACGCATTTCTTGGCGCTGGTGATAGTTTCAGCTGCTTCTACCACTGCGTTGTTTGCATCCCAACCGACGAGTACACCACTTGAAGGTAAGCTGCTTCCCAATGCAAGGTAGCTGCTAACACTTACGGCTTCGGCCAACTTCACGATACCGATGTCATTCTCATTGGTTTCAATATCGTATTGTTTATAGTAGTTAGATCTAGAGATTTTAACGGTCTGGGCACCATTGTTGACACCAACGACAAATTCGCTAACATCGTAATTAGCCAAACAGGAGGCGGCAGTGACAACGACTTTGGAATTGATTAAAGCACCACCACAGACGATGGTTCCATCGGCTAGCTGTAAGCTTACGAGGTACGGGTGAGCGCTAATAGAGGAAGCTGTACCACCTACAATTCCATCAGCTTGGGCGCCTGTAGCCGCGATCAACAGCAATAAACTGCAAACGAATTTGTTGGCCATTTTGGTAGTTGTCGTAAGAAATGCTCAGTGCCAAACTTTCAACTGTGCCCTACTTGAGTTTTTGCGCCCTTATATGCTGTTTTTTTTCCACCCATGAACGTCACAAACTGAATACGTCCGTTATAGTTAACATCTGAAAAAACAGCTACGAAGCAAAAAGTTTACCAAGTATTTAGATAATTTTTTTTATATAAGTCAAGAGGAAACTTTTCTTGTTATTTGAATAACTGTATGTGCATATTTGGATAGATCATATGATTGGGAACAAAAGGTTCCGTCCGTAAACAAATATGTAAATATTTACTTTATATGATACATAAACATTATATTACGTAAGCTATAAATAAACAAGTACAGAAGTATAAGTTCAGGCGTAACTCTGTATACGTTCTCTGCTTACGATAGCAAATGCATCATAATTAATTTGAAGGCACAATAGATTTGAAGAACATAGTGTCTTCATGTATTTTTCGGCTACAATAGCAGAGAACGGATGTGAATGTAAGTACTTAAACTATGTACATACAGATAAATTCTTAGACAAGTTTGAAAATCTAAAATTAAATAAAACATTTTGAAAAAGTTAACCTGAAATTGATCAAATTAAAATTGTTTTTCGACAACTTTTGGTTGGACACGAAAATTCTCGCACGATCATTTAAGACAATTTTTATTTTCCACCAGCTTTTTATACGACGATTAAATCCACTCGGTTGGAAATGTACGGTAATAGTTAAAAAAAAACCGCAAAAACATGCTGCAAAAATGAAAGCTGTTATACGTTGGCAACTTCTCGCTCTAATCCGCCATCTTGAACTACCTTAGGAGAAACTGTGATGTTTCTCTGCTAAATAGTATGTTATTATTATTAATCGGTTCAAAAAAGTCCCATCTCAAATGAAAATACTTTGAAAATGTGCTGAGATAGGTTGTTTTTGGATCTCCAGCTGAGATAGGGTGTTTTTGAACCGAGTTCGGAGATGGGGCATTTTTCAATCAAATTCTAAAATGGGCCGTTTTCCAGCCAAATTTTGAAATAGGGCGTTGAAAAGTTTTCTGATATCGAGTGTTTTCGACCTGGCTGCCGAGATAGGTCGATATTCCACTCAGTCGCAATTTTCGGTATATGGAAGACGATTAAACACGATTTGTTTTTATATCGATTCTAAAAAATCAACGGTAATTTTTAGCCACTTCAAACTTGCATATAATAAGACTAAAATTGAAGGGGCTA